GTACCAAAATTGATTCAAGTAGTAATAATATTCTTAAGTTCATCAAGTTCAAGACTTCAAGTAATCAAATTTCATTTTTATAATTCTATTATTTATTTATGATTTTATTCTATATCTTTGTAGCCAATTGGTGGAGCCAACATGGGTGTAGTTCTCCAAATTTACGAAAGTTGGCCATTCGGATCTTATACTTAACCACTTCCTCGTCCGGTTGTGAGCGCAATTGGAGTACTTTTGAAGGGGTAAGGGTAATTTTTATAACTGTATTACTAATTTAGTAGGTAGTTAATTAGTTATTAGTTTTGATTGTTTTGTAGTATTACTATTATATATTTAATAATTTTAATTATTTAATATTTATATTAATTAGTTTCATTGATTTTGTTACATTCATACAAAGAAAAGGAACATGCTTGAATCAAAGAGGCTCAATGACCTAATTTATATCAAGTATAATCGATTCTTGGAGGACAAGTTTGCTAAAAGAGTTAAGAGAGACCCCCTCAGGTCAAAAAATATGGACAATGCTATGGAGTTGTTGGTTGATGATGATGAGGTCGTGGGGCATGAAGGATTGACATGAGACATGGTCATGGATGCTTCAGGGACATCACCCGACCCTCCTAGGGCCACTAGATCTTCTGCACAGAGGACGAGGGTGGAGGAAGAGGAGGAAGAAGAGGCAGATTCAAAAGTGATGGAGGAGGACGACCAATATGTCGAGGAGGGTGACGACTCCGATACATATGATGTAAATGCAACTGACCCTATTTTTTCTGATGATGAATGATGATTAAACTTTGAACATTGATTGAAGATTCTTTTGAGTTTTCAAGTATTACTTTCATTTTTATTTTCTTCCTCTTGGTTGTGTATTGTGGATAGTGGATTTGTAGTTCCACTGGTTTGGTATTTGGTAACTTTGGTTTGGTAATTTGGTTGCTAAATTTTATGTTTTAATTGGATATGGAGTTATGAACCGACTTATGGTTATGCTTATGGAGTGTGTGCTAATGTGTAGTATACTTTTGAATTTTGATATGCTTTAAATACCTAATTTTTATATTTTATACAATATATATACTGTTAGAGTCCTTTTTTGTTTCAATTGGGCCCTCTAGGATCTGGGCGCCCGCCTAGGCGCTGGGCAGCCTGGACCCCCTAGACCGCCTAGGACCCACCTAGCACTTTTTGAAATATTGGAAGAAGATGATTACATATATAAAGGGCAAATCTTCAATGCTTTGAGTCATTCTTTGTTTGACCTTTATTCAGGAATGTGACAACAACAAACTTATGGGAAGTTCTAGAGACCAAATACAAAAAGGAAGATGGTGGAAGAAAGAAGTATCTAATTTGTAGGTTCTTGAGTTTTAAGATTATAGAAGAAAGATCGATGTTGGCTCAGATCCGTAAGTTTAATATTATAGTGATTGAATTTCAATTGAATAACATCAAATTTTATGAGTCCTTCCATGTGGGCGTGATAATGGATAATTTGCCCCCCTCTTGGAAAGATTATAAAGTAAACTGATGCATAAGTCAGAGGATTTGAACTCGAACTAGCTTATGACTTATCTAAGAATTGAAGAGGAGATCATGTATTGAAATATGAAAGAGCATAGTCCAAGATGATCTCCAGAGCACATGTACTTAAAGGTCTGAAAGGGCATCTTTGGTAACTGGAAGCTGGGGATTCTTTAGAACCAAATAGTTTTAGGTTTGTAGAAGCTGGAACCTTTGATATCTGGAATACTTGTTTGATAACCTGTTTGGAAGTTCTCATATATAGAGAGCAGGCTTCATGGGATTTAACAAAGTTTCAAAGAGGTTAGGCTTCATAGCTTCACAGAGAGAGAAAGTGTAGAAATAGAGAGAGAGGATTTATGGAGAGTAAGGACATGAATTGAGAAAGAAAGGAGTTAAGAGAAAAATGAGTTAGAGAAACAGAGGGCAGGGTGAAGAGATGACTTTGAGAGAGAAAAAGGACATGGTTAGTGGAAGAGATGAGTTAGAGAGAGAAAGGCACAGGTGGAGAGAATGGAGGTAGAAAGAAAGAAGTTAGAGAGAGAGGTCATTGTTAGAGGGAAAAAGCGCATGATTAAAGAAAGAAAGGAGTTGAGTGAGAAGATGCATGGTTAGAGGAGATGATTTAGGGAGGGAACTAGAGAGAGAAAGGGTATGGTTAGAGAGATTTAGAGATAAATGGTACGGTAAGAGAGGGAGGAGCTAGAGAGAGAAAGGGCACATTTAGGGAGAGAAAGGGCAAATTTAGAGAGAGGAGTTAGCGAAAAAATGCTCAATTAGAGAGTTAGAGATCTGAACGGCATGGTTGGATTTAGAGAGAGAAAGGGCATGGTTAGAGAGAACTTCCATCTTCCATGGGAGGGATGGAAGTTGCGGCTTTTATAATTTTTTGAGAACCCAATCCTTCCTAATGCTAGTTTCTTGTAAAACTTCTTGCTATAAAAAATGGAAGTCCTACAGTTGAAATTCTAGCTTTTGGAGATGGAACTTTCAGTTATCAAATGTGCCCAAAAGGAAGAATTGAAGGACTGGAAAAGGAATCAAGATCAAAGAAAAGAAAGAAGAAAAGACAAACAAAAAAGCTCCAAAGCCAAAGACAACTCAGGACAAGGGAAAGAAACCAATGATATGCTACCTTTGCGGCAAAGCCTGTCAGGTGTAGAAAGTTTGCAGGCTTTGAACGAAGCAATAGGTTCAAGCCAATGTAACTGAAGAAAGATGTGTTGCCACGATCTTTGAAGTAAATATGATGGGGGCCACTATAGAATGGTGGGTTGACTCAGGAGCTACATGTGTCTCTAATGGTAGAAACGTATCTGAGACTTATGAAATGGTGGGGGACGATGTTATCCTTTATATGGGCAGTTCTTCCTCTCCCAACGTAGTTGGTAAAAGGATGGTTGAATTGAAATCACGTTTGAGAAAAAAGTTCTCACCCTTTTCAGTGTGTATCATGATGCCGAAGCCAATAGAAATCTAGTGTTTGCATATCTTTTAATTAAGTGGGTTCATACTTGTCTTTGAGTCTAACAAGTTTATCTTGTTACTGGTGGTGTTTTTATAGTGTGGGATATGCCTCTGAAGGCAAGATTAAGCTTAACATAAATAATGAAACATGTCCCTCTTCTTTTGTGTATAGGCTTGATTCTCTTTCTTTATGGCATGGTAGATTAGGCCATGCTAAATATCATGCTTTGAGAAAAATGAGTACTTTAGACCTAATTCCCATGTGTGGGAATTTGGACATATTGGTGTGATGTGTGTGTATAATAAAAATCACAAGGAAACGCTTTCCTAAAACGGAAAGAAGTTCTAGGTGACTAAAATTGATACATAATGACATTTGAGATCTAATATTCAAAAAGAGAAAAAAGGACATTTGAGATCTAATAGTCGTATAAACTAGTGGTGGGAAGAGATACTTTGTCAATTTTATTGATGATTTCTCAAGATACATTTATGTTTATTTTATTGGAAATAAAGAAGAAGTATTTGAGAAATTCAAGATTTACAAAATTGAAATTGAAAACCAATTAAATTTGAAAATCAAGGTTGTCAAACGCGACAGAGGTGGTGAATATTGCTCCATTGACTTCACTAAATATTTTGAAGAAAATGGAATTATTCACCCAATTACTACCCCATACACACCGCAGCAAAATGGTTTAGCTGAAACTGAAAGGAAAAATCACACACTTGTGGTTATGGTGAATGTTGTGTTCATCAACTCAAACCTCCTTGTTAATTTGTGGTGAGAGGCTTTAATGTCAACATGTAACATTTTGAATAGAATGTCATATTTAAAATTTAATGCTACATGATATGACCTTTGAAAAGAAATGAAACCTCATTTAGGATTTCTCAAGGTTTGGAATTTATGCAACCTTGGTAAGTCTCCCTGTCCTTGAAAGGCCCAAACTTAGACCTAGATCTATTAAGTGTGTTTTTTTGGGTTTGTTGAACACAACAAAGCTTGTAGATTACCGAAGTATGGTTGTCTTACACTAATGATGGTAATGAAAACAGATGTTTCTGTAGTTTTTCTTTATAACTATTAAACCAATGTGTTAAACTAATGTTTTGGTATGTGGGCTAGCTCTTTCAGTATAAAGATGTTGGTAAATTTTATTTGTCATGATAGAAGTTAGAATAATCACTATATCACGCTTATTTAGACTTAGCCAGAAAAAAAGAAGAGAAAAACAAAAAAAAATTAACTGATGAAATTTATGACTTGCAACTTCCTTGGTCCTGTTGTGTTTGCATTGAGCTTGTGCCCTTTTACAGATTATCGTTTGGCACTATCTTGCTCCTTTTTGTTAAGTATTTGGAGCCTGTTAGATGGTTGCAGCATGAGAGACTGAGATGTTATGCATTTTAGGACCTTGATGACTATCCTAGAGTTGCATCCTTGGTAAATAAAGATTATTGTCTGATTATTGCTGTTATTACTTTATGCTGTAACTATCATAGCTTAGCAATTAGGTGTGGGATACGATCTGACTCCCAAATTTAGCTTCAGTGAGACATACTCAACATTTTCTTGATGCAACTTGTAGACAAGAAGGAAATGTATTGTAGGCTTGTCAGAAGTTCTTGTATGATATACAACATGCAGTTTCTTGTTGAATTGTACTAATCTCATTGACTCGTAATTTGGATCCTTTTGCAGTATTTATTTTATCAATTGTTTTTCAAATGTTGTCATAGACTTGTAGTTCAGATCCTATCATGATAATCTTATCTTTATCACCAGGGAGTTGAATTTTATGCAGTGAATACAGATGCTCAGGCATTGCTTCTTTCTAATGCAGAGCACCGGGTTCAAATTGGAGAACAATTGACTCGTGGGTTAGGTATGATGATTTCTTGGTGGAGGTGTAGAAGTCATCTAGAGCACCAGATATTAACTAACTCTCACAAAGATGTAGAATTTTTCTTGTATTTATTGCATGTGAGGCCTTATTCTTTTGTCTCAATAGCTTTCCATTCTTTGGGTTCTTTCCTCCTATCACTGATGTTGTTTCTATTCAGAAATACAGGTACTGGTGGGAATCCAGAGTTGGGTGAGCAGGCTGCTGAGGAATCAAAGGATGCTATCTCTGCAGTTCTTGCCAATTCCGATCTAGTGTTTATTGCAGCTGGGATGGGAGGTGGTACCGGATCGGGAGCAGCTCCAGTTGTAGCTCATTTATCTAAAGAGGCTGGCTATCTGACTGTAGGTGTTGTCACTTATCCATTTAGTTTTGAAGGTCGTAGAAGGGCTGTTCAGGTTTGCATTGATTTTTCCCTTCTATTCCTTCTTATTAAATTGAGTGATCGTCCTCCTATTTGTTTACAGTTCTTATAGAATTTTCATGTGTATTCTTCACTGACATGGAATTTGATGGGGGCAGCGTTGAAATGCTATTAACACATTTATTTTTCAGGAAAGTGTACATGCAGTGGTGGTTTATGGTTACATGGTATACCATGGGGCCATCATCTGTTTCTGATGATGGACAGTGGAAATTATCCCTAGTTTCTTGGGATGATCATTGGGTATGGTTGTTCTCCACCATTTATGAGGAACAGTTGGTGGTGTACCATATATGCCGCTGGTGCATGTTATGGTGTCCCTTTATTTACTCCCCCAGCTGTTGCGATTTCTTGAACTGTGCAATATTAAGTGCAATAGCTTGGAATTTTGATCTCTGCAATATTAAGTGCAATAGCTTGGAATTTTGATCTCTGCAATATTAAGTGCAATAGCTTGGAATGTTTATTTATTTATCGTATGCATGATTCCATCCAATGTGCCTAGTCCTTCAGTCAATATTGTATTATTATTATCCACAGATTAGTATCGATTTAATGTTTCTATATGTCAATTTCTATGGTACACATGAAATTTTTTGGTACTTATAGAGTATGCATGATTATCTATGTACTTCCAGATTTAGTTGAAAATATTGGTGCTTCACAGGCATTGGAGGCAATTGAGAAACTACAGAAATGTGTGGACACACTTATTGTCATACCGAATGACAGGTTGCTTGATGTTGTACCTCCACAGACTCCTCTACAGGAGGCTTTTACTTTTGCTGATGATGTACTTCGTCAAGGTGTTCAAGGAATCTCTGATATCATTACTGTATGTGCTGCATCCCTCATTATTACATTGGGACACGCTTTTTTTTGCTACTTTTATTCAATTGGCATATTCTCTGATTGAATTCGATTTTTTATTGGATTGGATTGAATGCTGATTCAATTAGATTCGTTTCAAGAGATTGTTTCTGATGTGTGGCATTTCTTAAACTTGAAAATATTGGAATGCAGATTCCAGGTTTAGTGAACGTGGATTTTGCTGATGTAAAGGCTATAATGAGGGACTCAGGAACTGCAATGTTGGGAGTTGGCGTTTCTACTGGTAAAAATCGTGCTGAAGAAGCAGCACAACAGGCTACTGCATCACCTTTGATTGAAAGGTCAATAGAGCGGGCAACTGGTGTAATGTACAATATCACTGGTGGAAAGGACCTAACGTTGCAAGAAGTAAACAGAGTGTCACAGGTAGACATGCATTAACAGCTTTGAATTTGTGTTATTATTGTTATTATTACTATTATTACTATTTAGTTTTCTCTCTTTAGGACGCTGGTTATTTCTCCTCAAATACTGTGTACCAAATCTGTACCAGAGGCCAATTGATTTGCTTTGCCTTCAGGTTCATATAATATTGTGTTCTGGTAATAAGAATTGAAACAATCGCTCTTCTCATGTTCTAATTGATCCTAGGGTGATATTGCTATTTGTAGGACTATATTTTCTGTGATTGTGATGCTGTGAATGTGCTCTGTGTCAAGATTAATCAGGATATAGGATTTAGGTGCTATACATTTTCAATTGATGTTGGGTATATTGTAAATTATAGCACGTGTGCATTGAGAAAGGTTGGATTTTCTGAGAACTTGCATCCTTTGAATTCTGAAGTTTACTCAATAATACAAGAAAATATTCTTTGTTTGGTTCGCAGAATGTCATAAACATAATCATTTAAATTTATAGCTAGCTAGCACACTCTTATGATGTTGCTCATACTTTTTTAATTTATTTTTGCTAGGATTTTTTATTTTATTTTTTATTTTTTTCCCTTGTAATCCAATATGAAGACAAGGAAAGTGTGTCTCCTATGAAATTCCGTAGTCTTTGCAGAAGCATTGACTTCATAAGCTGTACAAAGTTTTGGGGAACTAGTTTATATATGCTTCTGAGCATATGAGATATCCCCATGAAGTTTCATTTGGTTTGATATTACCTTCTTGCCCTGTTGACAAAAATTAAAAAATAACTGATAAATGAAGTGTAATTAGAAATACGTTAAAAATGCATTCTTTCGCTGATTCTCCTTGTGTAACCGTGAACTGGTGACTGATTATCTTATAATAATGGATGAGCAAATACTATCCATTTTCTTAAAGTTGCACATTGGAAAACCTCATTGATTTTATGGTGGTTTAAATTGATAGGAATGCGATTATCTGTTTGTGTTCTTAGTTGTCATTCCCATGCTCTGTTGGCATTCATTTGTCATTCTAATTTTTGAAGAGAGGTTAGCCTAGGCGATTGCACAGATGTGGACCATGCATTGCATTCTATGAGTTTCTTTTGGAATCAGAATTTGTTTTTTTTTCCCTTGCTATTGATGATCTAACTAGGATGGGAATGAGGGAAGAGTTCATAGCTAGACAGTCAGCAGCGGGGCTGGTAATAGAGAAAGGAAGATTGGGAAAATGTGCATTTACTTCATCCTTAGGAGAACATAGACGTAAATGAACTGGTGAATCTTAAAGGGAGAGTTGGGTAGTAGTGTATTCCGAATATTGAGACAGAGGATAAGTCAAACAGTTTCAAAAGAAAAAAAATATTGAGACAGGATTTAGATTGTGTCCAACACTCTATCCTTCTGAGAACCTATCTAAGGGAATATGAGCTTTAATGTGGTGTGATAGCTGAACAAATAAAGAAAAAGGATCCTACAGGAAACATTGACAATAATAAACTTGAGTTTCATAAAGGGAGAGTGGTTGGTAGTCTTGTTGGAAGGTTTGAGATGAGTATTTGGATTGGGCCATTCTCACCATCCTTTTGAAGATTCGATACTAAGGGAATGTGTATAGCTTCAATGTGGTATAAATGCTGAGGACATGAGGAAAAAGGTTTTGATCATCCATTTGGAGGACTTGGAAAGGATCGGAAAAGGAGATTGTGTGGCATAGTTAATCTAACAAAATGACTCTGAAGTGTTGTTTTTTTTTTTCGCTCAAGTGAGAGCTAGTCCCTAGGAGAGCTGATTTCTGATTCCTCCTCTTTTTTAATTAACGATACTTGTAGGTGGTTGGCAAAAACGTCTGAACTGGATGCCAAGTGCACTTATATTCCAAAGTAACGCTTGTTAGGTAAATATAGTGCTAGTATGGTGGGCCTCTTAAAAATCCTTATATCCACAACCACAAGTGAATGTACAGATTTGGTTTCTCCTCCTGTTAGGTGGTTGATTCTGAGTTTAATGATTGTACCTCATGTGATATATGGATGTCTGGAATTGGAGGTTTTCATGGATGAGACTAGGATGATTTTCTTTTGATTTACCACTCAAGCAGCTTGTAGATGTGGTTGGGGTAGAAAGGATTTTGTTCTGATAAAACTGGTTTTCAGATACTTACACCTCACCACATATTATACATATATGGATTTGTGTCTATGGGGCATATTTTGCTTCATCTTGTTGTGACTGGTGTTTTCCCTTAATGTGATTATGTTATGGTGGTTGATGCCCCCTGGAGGTTTGTGTGCATTTTAGTATATCAGTTATCATAAACACTTTGGGATGTCTTAGGTTATGGTTAGGGAATGGGCAGAGTGACTAAATGCCAAGAGCAATTATATAATGGTTTTTGCGAGATTATTAGTCATCAGGGGGGAATGCCATCAAAGTGCAAGGTTTTGCAACTATAAGTGCAACTTGGCACTGTTGAGATAGGATTTTTATTTTTTGATGTAGGAAAAAGAGAGGAAATAGAAAGAACCAAATAATAAAGCAATACATTAGAAAATATCCTCTCTCTGGGTCTGCGTGGAATCTACCCTAAAGGCTGAGAAATTTGACCCTCGCCCTAAGTTGCAATTAGAATCCTCCCCAGAATTATCTTTCTACTGGACCCAAACTCAATTCTCTCATGGTTGGGAGAAGCTCAACCTTGAGCTTTTTTATGTCCTCGCATCCGTCGGAGGCCTCTTGAAGCATTTTCTCTAACTCAATAATGGATACCCGCCATTCATCCAAACATTTTCTCTAATTCAATAACCTCTTCTCAAACAATTAACGTGGAATTTGCAGTGGAACTCTGGGATTTCGTGCAGAACCTTGATTTCTCTTCCATTTTCAACCACTTTTCATGCTTTACAGCGTGATCGGCTACTGCAATAATTTGTTGTATTATTCATGGTTGGATTAGAGGTTGGATCTTCCACTTCTTCGAGACATTTGTCTTGCATGTGCTGCTTGAATTTGTTGAATAATTCCCTTTTTTGTAAATTCTCATAAAATTGACACATGCTCTAAGATTGGATCGGTGTTGTCTACATAGGCTTAAATGTCATAATTCTGTACTGATCTTGAGGCTCTGTCACCAAATGATGTAAGGAAAACATAAGAGAAAATAAAAAAAACTAATTAGTGTAGATAGGTGAGAGGAAATGCCCTCTCTCTTGGTTTGCAGGGGAATCCAGCTCTTCACTAGGCTTCTTGGGAATCACCCCAAAAGATATTTTCCCACGACATAAACTCAATTCAACTTATCTGTATTTACAAACACAACGTATATTTATAAGAAAAAAACCCTAACAGCTAACTTGACTCCTAAGATACCTAAATCCTAATTTCTTAACTTCCAATTTTACCCTAAAATTTCTGGAAACGCAAGTGACTAAAATAATCTAATAAAAAAATAATTTCCTAGCTACATCATGTTCTTCCTGGATAGCCCACCCAACGTGATTACACCAAGCAATATTGGCCTTTGTGTTGATTGTGTCTGCTCGGAGGCAAGCCTTTTGTGGTTGAGATGGAGTGATTGTCATTTTTTACCTTTATTTTATACTTGCAGCATTATGTTTCTATTTTTATTGGTTGGTTTAGGACCTCTTTTTCTTTTCTTCCCTTCTTTTTTGGGTGTGGCATGCTATCATCTAGTTCCTCAGATGGAATTCCCATTTGTAGCATTATTTTTAATAGTCTCTTGCTTCAATTAAATCTTTGCATAGAAGGTGCTCTAGCCTGGCAATTCTTATGCATTATTGTATGACATGTGACCTTAAAAATTGCATGAGATTGTTTTCTTTCCATGATGGAATTTGTCATTTATTTGAAAGGAAAAGTATACAATAAAATCCTGGAGCATGATGTGTGGTCCTTTAAATGCACCCGACGTCCATCACCCTGCTAGATTTTGTGGGATTGACTATACCTGTGTGAATCTCCCCGTGCGCTGCACTAATTTTGATCTCCACTGTTCATCATCTGGAATGCTGGAGGATGCCCATGGAGTAGTGTACACTATACCATACTTGATTGTGGTGTGCATTCTTCCTTTTTTACAAACAAAATCTCAGGATTTGTTTGCAATGCAGGTTGTGACAAGTTTGGCTGATCCGGCAGCAAATATCATCTTTGGAGCTGTAATTGATGATAAATATCATGGAGAAATCCATGTGACCATAATAGCGACTGGGTTTTCTCAGACATTTCAGAAAACTCTCTTGACTGATCCTAGTGGCAAGTCTTCAATGATGGGTAAGCAAAACGCAAGAACCGTTGAGAGGCCATCATCAGTACTATCCCCTGGTAAAAAAGCTTTTCTATGATCTACCGCAATGACTCGATGAGTGAAGCTTGGTTTCTATTAATCAAGAGGGAGAAAGAAAAGCGGTTGTGATGCTTTTCAGATGTATTTCCTGTATATCTGCATTTGTTGATACGAAAATTTTGGTTGGTGAATGTACTTGCTATGTTTATTCGATGAATTTAACGTAGTACAATGGATATAGAAGTCTTGTCTCTCTCCCTCTCTCTCTCTCTCTCTCTTGCCCATAAAAGTCAAATTTGCTCTACTTTTTCCTTTAAGACAAATTTTCTCCCAAATGTTGAGATAAGGGTGCAGCACAATCTCACAAAAAGATGGAAAAGATCACCACCCCCCTTCCCTCATGATTGATTGGTGTGTGTGTTGCATTCCTTTTACAGTTTACAGAAGGAAAAGATTTATACAGTGTTGAGGCTCTAACTAATCAAATTAGAGCCCACCTCAATAATTTTACTAGAAGAGTTGTTTTGGTTTACTAAAAGAGTTGTTTTGGTGCCCAAATACCCTCAAATTGATCATCTCGACATCAAGATACATGGACATGAGAAAAAAAATGATTTCAAGTTTTAGAAACAATGCATCTAGTAACACATTTTTGTATAAAAATTTGATTTCAAGTTTTAGAAACAGTACATCTTGTAATGCATTTTTGTATCGGCAATTTTCAAGATTTCATAGATATGTTCGATCTATAATATTTTTGAAGCCTTAAATTTTATAATTAAAGATGAAAATATATTTTAAGGCTATCACAAAGATTTTTAGTATTGAAACCATATTTTTCGACACGATTTGAAGGTGTGCTTTACTTTGATTGTTTAGAGCTTCAGTTCTATACAAATCGTACCCTTTAGAGAGTTTGGGAAAAGAAAACAAAGTTTCTATATAGTAAGCTTTATGAAAACAAAATAGAGCCTCGTTTCAAATCCTTGTACGAAAAGCACTTTTGGCAATGGAAAGCTGCATGATGACACTCAAATAAATTTCCAACACATAATAAAATTTGAAACTCAATCTACATGATGACTCCAAAATCAATTTTCAATATCGACAATAAAATTTGAAACTCAAAAAATGATAGTGTCTTTCGGATTTGTGAACATCTACTTTTAAGGTGAAATGGATGGTCTAAATAATTTGTTACAATATATATTCCTTTTAGAGTTTGAAAGCTTCCTTTTTTTTCACAACCATAATGGTCAAACTGAAATAATCGAAGTGGATGTTTCCCAATGTTTGAATTGTAATTTTCAATGAGTTATGAGGTGAGGTCTTACTTATTTTGAAACATTTCCCTCATTTTCCATAACCCGAGGTTTCGATAAATTCAATGATTTCATGGATTAAAAAGTTGTTCATGAGACCAACGTCCATCATAGAGATCGATGTTGTGAAAAAGCCCGACCTAAAAGTAAATAATGACGGTGTAGAAATATCCTTAAAACAATCATATTTTAAATGTTAAAAATTGCATTATTGTATTTTATTTTTCATATTCATGATCATCTTAATTAAGATCATAAATCTTTAACATTTTAAATTAAAAATTTGTCTTTAAGAATAGATCTGAGAGGTGATCCACACGGCTAAACTCAAAAACCCCATCCTTCATAGCTTCTTAATAGAGCCCGTGTTATCAGATTGGCTTCCAAGTCTTTCCAAAAAAATGAAGCAATTTGGAGTTTCTGAAGATTTTGGAAATTTTTTAAAATTTTAATATTAATAAAATACATATTTAAAATATATTAAAATAATAAAAAATATATTAAAATAATAAAAAATTTAAAAATAAAACAATTAGGAACTTTGATCGATTCAAAAAAAAACTTGAGAACTTTTTAAATTTTTTAATAATATTTTAAGATATTTAAAAATATATTAAAATAATAAAAAATTTAAAAATAAAAATTCAATAGAAAATAGTACAATTATATGCTTTGGCCGAAGAAGGAAAAGTATACCGAAGTCTTTTTAAAAGTTGTATTTTTAAAAGACAATTTTGTGAAGAGGCCGAACCTTCGATCGAGGAAGCCCAATCAGATCGAAATTGGCCAAAGTGAAGCGAAGCTATCAAATCGGGCAAAACTAAAAATAAAGTATAAACATTGATTTTCAATTATCAAATGGGGGTCATAAGAGGCGTAAAACGTTCCCCAAAACCGTAAATTTAGCTGTTCAAACTTCAAACTTTGGTAAGCATGGAGATGGAGGAATCGTTGTCCCGCAAGAGCACGGAAGAGTTGGCGGTGGAAGGGCAGAGGCATTTGGAGGACACCATTGCAGCGGCCTACCAGATCCTATGCTCCATGAACCAGGAGCTCTGCAACCCTTCTCTCTGGTCCACTGCTGATGCCGCCGATTCTTCTCACCACCATGAACCAGGCGGTGGAGCCCTAGAAGACGCCCGACACCGTTACAAGTGTGCTGTTGCTTCTCTCAGAGCAGTCCTCTCTGCCATTCCCACTTCTCACTCGGTAACCCTAATTCCCACTGGCAATCCTTGTCACAGAGAGAGAAACTATTCTTCCTCTGTAGAAATGATTGAGAGAGAGAATTGAAGATTGAATTTCACTGTTTTCTCACAAATGATTTTGAAAGAGAGAGAGAGAGAGGGAGAGAGAGAGAGAGGAATGACTCTTACTCTAATTGTTACAAATGACATTGAGACTATGACAGAGAAAGGAATGAATCTTACTCTAATTGTTACAAATGACATTGAGACTACGAGAGAGAGGAATGAATCTTACTCTAATTGTTACAAATGACATTGAGACTACAACCCCCTTTGTTGTTGTTGTCGATGCAGGAGGTACCTCAAGGCGCAGGACCCACTGGGTCATCACCAGATACAAGCGGAAAGAAATCAGAGTTGCAGAGCCTGGAAGAACGTGCTGCTTATTTGAGGAAGGTAATGCTATTCGTTCGTAATCATTTGAATAATATGCATGAATCAAGCAATAGAATTGTTATGGTTTTTGTTTGTTTTATAATAGCCATTTATTTGAACCCTTTATTAACGTGTACTTTTTTCGTATCTTGGTCTTATTGATCTTCATTCTTTTGAACTTCTTGGAAACATTACGAGTTTGATTTGTAAACCAAAATGTTAACTAAAAAGTACTAACGGAGGTAGAAGAGTTGAGTTTTCTAAATATTTCAAGAACATTATTCAAAAGGTGTTTCGTCTTCAGATTATGGAATTCGAGGTATTGAATGGGCTGCCCATTGTTGGGTATTTATCTATGAGTAATGATCCTTTGAGACCCTCCCATAGGCTGCAATTATGTAAACTTTAATTGCAGTGAGAATATAATATTTATTGCTTCAGTGACCTTGTTTTATTTCTTCAACTCTCTTAGTATGTAATTAGTACTCCAGTAGTGCAAGCAAGAAAAGATAACCATCATATAATATTGCGAAAATTGCATAAAACGCCCCAAAATGGACAACAACCTAACTTTTCCTAGTAACTTTTTTCCCAAAACCATGTTTCCTAGCAAATACCCCCAACTCATAAAAAAAGAAAAAAAAAAAAACAAGACTAAAATACGCCTCCCTTATTTCACACGTTGACCATGGCAGTCCGGTGCTTAAGTCATTGATTTGGAACGGTCCGGCACTTCACCATGGTGGTCCGGAGTTTGGAAGAGGCTGTTCGGCATTTGTTTCTGGATTAATGAGCGCTCCAGTATTTATGAGCTACGGTCCGGAAAAATTGAAAATTGTGTCTGGACTAGGCGGCCCGGCAGTGTACAGTTCCGGTTCGGCAGAATGGATGGGTCTGGCAATATACAACCGCAGTCCGGCGTTTTCTTTTATTGGGATCTGAAAATGATTTGTTATGTACGGGAATGGTATTTTTATAAAAAAAATAATGAACTTTTTGTATTGGGGGGTATTTGCTATAAAACTTGATTTTTGGGAAAAATATACTAAGAAAAATTAGGGTGGGGGTATAGTTAACTTCCTTCAAAAAACATTAGGGTGGGGTAAAGTGCCTAGTCTATTTTTGGGGGTTTTATGTAATTTTCCTTATTATATTATAATAGAATTAAAGGGATTGGCGCTCAGCTTGCCATCATTCAGTAACCTGTCAGTGATAAAGAGAAAGTATACTATGTCCTTGCTGCTCTAGGGTGAATACAAAATTTTGTCACCTCAGTCACTGCTAAGCCTCCATTTCCCACATTTTCAGAGCTTCACCGATTGCTACTACAACATGAGTCCCTCTTCCATGGCCAACTTACACCGAAACACACCAAAATTCTTATGATGTGTTGATCATGGCTAGCAACCCTACAGCACTTAATGGTGGATGAGGTGGAAGTTGACGGGGTCGTGGCGATAGAAGTTGTTGAAGGCAGATTCCATACATTTCCAAATAACCAAGGGCATGGCCTTCTTTCTGCGTGCAATTACTACGCACAGAATGCAAATCCAGGGTATAGCATGGTGTGAAGTCAAATTTGTGGTTTCTGAAATCATACCACAGTGGCTGTTACTATTGGACAACGTTCAAATAATAATGAAGACAAAGTTGTTGCCATAGAAAATTGATGGAAGCTAACCATTGGGCAAGGAAGCTCCCATTGTTGGTCATTCCTGGAGTTGAATGATGAATCGAGGAAGCTCCCATTGTTGTTCTCTTAGTTTCAAATAAATGAGGGTGTCAATGTTTGACATCATCTTCTAGTTCATTGTAGTCATGAGTCACTCAGTAGGTTAAGTAAAGAGGGTTCAATTCGTTGAGGCTGATCCCGTAGTCAATCAGAGGCTAAAGAGGATTCAATCCCATTGTTATCTAAGAATCATAATTTGTTTGTGTCATGCTTATCGGTTGGGTAAACATTCCCGAACTTCCTTTTCCAATTCTAATAAAGGAGCTTCTTTGCCCCTTGAATTAATTCCTTCAGATGTGTGGGGACCTGCAACTGAAGGAGCTTCCTTGCCCCTTGAATTAATTCATTCAGATGTGTGGGGACCTGCATACTTCTTCATCCTATGTCAAATATGATGATTTTTCACAGTATATATGTGGATTTATTTCCTCAAGAAATAATCTTAAGTATTCAAAACATGTATACTATCAAGTGTTTATTTCTGAAGTCCTTCAACAAAAGAAAACCTGCCAACTACTATATTGCAAAAAGGGGTCCAAAATGGGTTGAAGCAATAATTGCAGAATGAAGGCAATGTTTTGAATAGAGGCCAGTTGGGAAGAATGTTGACGGCAAAAAATGGGTGTACCAGATAAAATACAAGTTAGATGGCAGTATTGAGCGATTTATAGCTTGATTAATGAATTCAATTAACAACATGGATTGAGCTATGAAGAAGCTTTTAGCCCAATTGTTAAAATTGTTATGGTTTGGTAGTCCTACCCTTTGCCGTCACATATGATTGATCTCTTTTTCAGCTTGATGTAAAGAAGACATTTATTCATGGAGTGTTAAAGGAAGAAGTGTATATGTAGCAGCCTCTTGGTTTTAGTCAAAAGGATCCCGCAAAATCTGTATGAATAGCATTGCCGGCCTAGGTGGGCTAGGGGGGCCCCGGGTGGACCAACTAGACAGGCTTTCCCTGGATGCCCGCCTAGGGACCCTATGCACCTGCCTAGTCCCTTGCCTAGGCGGGCGCAGGGTACCTGGGTGGGTGCCAAGGGGACTACGCCCGCCTAGGTGCAAAAATACCCATTGGGTGGGGTATTTTATTTTTTATTTTATTTAGATTATAAAAGATGCATGATGCATTTTTCATATAAAATCTGGACCTAAAACAGTTTACTAGACACCACTTGTCCTCTTTTGAACTTAGGCTGCCTAGGTTCTGGGCGATCGCCTAGGTGCTGGGTGGCCTAAAACCTCCCAGCCGCTTAAGCACCGCTTGGCATTTTTTGGAATACTCTGAATGGATCTATTACGGTCTAAAATATTCATTTCAAAGTTTTTATCTTGCAATAAAGGCAAATGGATGGACAACAGTGGATCACTTCGTATGCTTGTGAGCACTACAAATATTGTGATCATTCTCTTATATGACGATGATATGATAATTACTACAAATTTTGCAGGATCTACTAAGGCTTATCCAAGCCGGGTCCAGGAAGTTCTCAAATTCAAAGGGACAAATTGCATGCCATCGGGTTTTCCAGCTAAGTTCGCTTGGTTTTCCTAGTTCTATGCTGACGAAAAGATCGAAAGCTCATCATCTCCCTATAGTTTTGAGTACGAAACGGGATAGTGGAATGGGACTTCTCGTTCCACTATAAGACTCCAGATCACTTAAAAACTCGACAGATGGAAAACAAGCCCCCAATCTCCTGAACCTTAAGCAGCAATCCACTCTGACCGAGGAATGTTCCTTTCAAGGCCTATTCCCTTGTCCTGGTAAGCTTGCAAAACATTCAAAAGCAGGGGTTTTCTAGAGGGAGAGAAATGGGAGGGAAGAAGGGTATGGCAAGCATTGGGCTTCGATAGGAGAGGAATTTATGGATTGATGACGACAAGGTCAAGGGTCGCCATAGAGAGGGGGTTGAGTAGTGAAGCTAGCCTAGGATAGTCGCAAGCTAACAAGCCAGTGTCCGTTTAGAAAGCCAAGGCATTGAGACCAGAGAGACAAGCATAGGGTTGTGACATACTTTTATGTTTAAAGTCTTTGTATATTTTTGGCTTGGTAAGAAAGAATGAGTTAGATATTTTGAAGATGCCCCAACACCCATATTTCTTGAGGTACACCATGTGAGGACCGAAGATCAAATCCTCATAAAATACAAGAGAAACCTATAGCAGCCTTCGATATATAGCTTCAATGAGGGACATAATCCCTATCGTCAGTTGGTTGTCTTTTTTGAGATGATCCAATGAACCAAGGAGAAAACAAATTGCTGCATGCTGCATTGATGCAGGGTTTAAATCTGGAATTCATGCTGCTGTGCCAGAGAATCCCTTTCTGCATGTGCTTGTTTGTGGAAGCATAAACTTGTCCATTGAGTACTACTAGGGAGATTGATAGATGATGCTACATTATGTGGATGACTTGTTTCTCACCAAGAATGACAAATTGGCATTTTTTTCTACATGCAAGGATCATTCTTATTGCCTCCAATGAAGCTACTGGGAAAGATTTGATACTTCCTTAACATATTGATGGTAACTTGTGATCTTTGAATCTTCATATGTTGAAACATTATTGCATCGACTTTTCTGCATAGGTTGACATGACATCGTGTCGTTGATTAACAGACCATTTAATCCTGTTTAAAGTTTACTTGGGGAAGTAACAGTTTCCAGCCTGAATTTTTATCCATATGAGGTAGAGTTGGCCAATTTTATGAGGGACAAATCTCTTGTCAGAGAGGAACTGCTTGACAATTTCAGGGTTGAATTTGATCCACTCTTAGCATGCATACTCAATAAATATAGGAGCTATATGCGACTCACTTGAGGTTGATTCTACACCTCTTTTTTATGAGAAGAATATTGTTTATATAAACTTCAGGAAAAGAAAAGATTGCAATAAGTATCAACATATCTTACATCAGGGATATGAATTTTCATATTTTAGGGTCCTCAGGTGTAGGTTGGCTTGGATTTTACATAATTGGAGGTTGCTATGAGGTAATGGTTTTCATTGGACAGCAGGATTGTTTTTTGAAGTAAGCATGAAACAATCCCTAGAGGTCTTTTATCATCAATGAACTGAAAGTATAGGTTGTAAGAGTACCCTTGGTTTTGAGGTAATCTGATTTGATGAGTTTGTCGGCAAAGTGCAGGTAGGTTTTATAGATTGGGGTGACAATATGAGCTCTATCTTCTTGGCATCTAACCTGATATTACACATGCACATGAAGCACTTGAAGTGTAGTAAGATTCTGTTTGCTAGTAGGTGTTGCAAACAGAATGTTAGCGGCCCATTGTTTCAAAAAGAGGACCGCTCAGCGCCTGGGCGGCCGCCTAGGCGGATTTCCCTGGGCGCCCGCTTGAACCTGCCTAGGCGGCCGCCCAGGGCCTGCGCCCCACCCAGGGTGTGGGGCGGAACTGCGGCTCCTTGAGGGTATTTTTGGGTCATTTTTTTAATACTAAAGAGGCAAAATTGTGGGTTTTAAAGGCTATTTAAGAGAGAGAAAACCCAAAAAAAAAAAATATTTCTACTGGATCGCTCAGGTTCTAGGCGCCTGCCTAGGCGCTGGGCGGCCTGGCCTCCCCCGACAGCCTAGGAGCGGCCTAGCACTTTTGAAACACTGGTTAGCGCTTCACGATTTGCAACGCTCAATTCCTACCAAAGGTAGGGGCCTCTCCCCACTGTCTCACCCAAAAAAAACGTTCTGTTTGCTAGTAGGTGTGGAGTGGCATGATTGAGCGTATTTATGCCCTAATTGATGAGTAGGTGGCATATGGATGTGGCAACCTTTTGGTTTGAAAGATTAAGCTTGTTTTCAAAGCAGTTTCACATGTTGAATGAGGCAATCACCTTGTCAGACATATACTTGTCCTTTCAGGCAGCCATCAATTTGTAAGGTTGTTTGTAACTGCATGTATTTAACTAGTCTTGGTTATGGAAGTCCTATAAGAAAATTTATACCCAAGTAAACAAATTCATATTTCCATGAAGTTGCCTTATCATTAGTCACCATTCCTGACTGCCAAATATGATCCAAAGTCCTTCTGAACTTATCTATGCAATAGAAATGGAAGTTCATGAGAAAAATTCATACATCAATCTAAAATTTGAAATTTGCATTATAGCTAGTTGGCCATTGCATATAGTTAGCACAACCATTGTTTGCATGTCACTATTGTTTATCATTTTCTGCATGTCACTCTGAAGTGAGGTGTCTATAAAAATATTAAAGATTGTAGGCATATAGGAGAGTTAGGAGAGAATGTAAAAACTTATACAATTGTTTTAGTGACTGCCTCAAGGTGGGGTGGACCAAAGCCATTCCTCCTTTGCAAAATGCCAGCTTTTGGTCAGCCAGCCGGAGGTGGGTGCCTGCCTTGAGCCCAGACACACACCTCATCTTGTCCTCACCTGAGGTTAAATGCTCTTCTTTGATGGCATTTTGATTGTTTCCCCCTCTCAATGGAAAGGGAATGGGAGGTTCGGGGAGTATTAGGGGATGCATTCCAAACAACCCCAACTGACCCCGCCGCAACCCCCTCTTAAGGAATGCATTAGAAACTAAAGATTTTGTCTCTTTCAAAAAATATTGACATTTTTCTGCAGGAATTATACATGCACAAAAAATGGAACCTTTCTTTTTGAAAAATGGGCAGAAATATCATATTTTTAAAGAAAATTTTAAGATCGCTCACGTTCTGCAGCTTGAAGCAGTTGCCTAGGTCATTGAGATATGGGATGCTAAGATCCATAAAATGTTGTGAAGAAACTTGGTTAGTATGAGGATGACATTATAAGTTTCTTTATTTGTGCTGTACGTTTGTGTGGTATGTGTCCTTTAGGTTTCCATCTCTTGTCTCTTCCTCCAATAAATTATGTACTTGGTTTAATTTATGTCTCGTGCATATTTTATAGCTATACTTTTTCTTTTCATTGCCTCATAAACTACAAATAATGGGTTTCTAATCATCATCATCATTCATCAAACCTTCACTGAAGGACCTGCCTTAGATTTCTCCCGAACTCTACCACTGTAGTAAATTTTCTACTTCTCTAGCTTTAGAAGTCCTTGTATGAGGCAACTCCATTCACTTTGAGTGGACAATATATGAGAAAATCAGTTATAAACCTTCCATGGCTGGACTTCATAGATCCATGCTTCATTTGTGGTACCTGATTAATCTCCAGACCGTCGAGTTATTATGTATATAATTTGTTACCCCTTATTTTGATGGCTCAATAAAGCAATTTAAAGAGGTTTTGGAAGCCTTAGTTATATTATAGCTTCATAACATCTAATGAAATTGATTTCTCCAGACTGCATATCAGGAACGTTTTTTCTACATTCATTTACTTCCCATGGGCAGTAAACCATAAAAGAAATCGAGAGTTCGTCTGTCAATATTCCGAATTTTTCCAATGCTACTTAAATTCTAAAACCTCATTTTCAAAGAAGGTTATGCTCTCTCCCCTTTTGAAGGAGAGCCCCATAATGTCCTTCGAGACATAGCTTATTATCTCTTAGAGTTATGGTGACTTATAGGTTAGCGCGGTGTTTTAAGAAGAAAGTAGTCGCTTCAATAGTCTAATCTTTTAGTAAACCTCTGTATCCCACATTATTGAAATTTTGACTTTGTAAATGTTGGTTGAATTCTTCCAGTGCCTCTTTTATTGCTTCTAAACTGGTACCTATAATTCTTGTAATGTCTTCATTCCAATTCTCTTTGAACCTTAGGAACAATTTTCTTTTGGATAACTGATATCATCAAAGAGAACTTTTCTACATTTATTTATTTAGAATACCTGGGATTATCTTATTGCCGTCAATGGTACTTAATTGTGGGAATTGTGACTTAGACAAAGTACACTCAAGGATTTTCCTGGCATAAAGTTATTGATACTGCTATATATAATGATAAATTAAGTTTTGACGTGAACTATTATATGGTCTTTATCTATTAATAATTTCACAAATATCTGAATGTGATTTTTTTGGCAACTTGGCCTCAATATCCATCTCCCCAGTTTTTATCTTTCTTTAACGTTGATGAGTTGGATGGGTCTTGATTGTTTTAATTTCTTCTCCCTAATTGGATTTTTAATTTGTTCCTTTTATGCTCTAATTTGCGGCTCGGAAAACGTGTTTATAGCTTACAAAAACATCGAAGACCATTTTGAAATATTTTTATCGCTATCTTTTTTAGCTACCTCTACTATTCTTACGTCATTTTAACTTGCAGGAACTTGCAAACAAAAATAAACATCTCAAGCTTGTCATAGATCAGCTCCGTGAGCTCGTTATGGATGTATCCATGTGGCAGAGTCCATGTTCAGTCTGACATGAGCCTGTTTGGTTTGGTCAGTTTTCCCATTCGGGCCTTTACCCGAACCGTTGCTGTTTTTTTCAATTTTTTTATGGCCATGCTCATTTCTCAACCCTACTCCTTTTCTTTCATTTTCCTACTGAGTTTCGTCTTTGCTGGTTCTGTATAAAAATCAATTGTTTTACGAAGATGGCCTTATGATCTCTCACTATGCATCTAGTGGATGGTCTTTTGTCTTTCTTGTTTGAATTCGTAAAGAAGCTTTCGGTGAAACTTTTAGACAATAATGATGATTAACGAAGGATACAGAAGGATATGGCGAACTTATTGCTGCTATGCTTTAATCAATGTTACATTTCTGTGCTGGGGCTTAGTGAAGCCCCTGTCCGAATGGAGTAACTTGAGCAAGTCCGAGTGTGTGAGAGAGGATTTTCATATAATTAGGGAAAAATCCCTTAAAAATAGAAAATTTCAAATAATTTACAAGTGAAGAAAGTAAATATTTGTGAATGATCGAAAAATAATGCAAAGAATATGCACATGGACAAATCTGGCACAAAAAATTTGCTGTGAAGTCTCTCAAACTCAAACTCATCCGATAGATAGCACCCCAAAAAAATAGTTCTTAAGAGGCATAAAACCAAAAGAAGAAAACGAAGGACAGATAAAACATACCATTGTGTTTAGAAAAAAATAACCTTTTGAGTTTATACAAAAAAAAAAATTCAGAAACTTCGAACTACCATTCTTCTTGAGAAGAGAATGAGGCAAGGTGCATGCACACAAAAAGTTATATCACAAAATAATCTGTCTCATAATATTATTAAATAATAATAATACTATGGTCGGTGATGTTACAATCATAAAAAATCTGCGTACACAAAAAATGAAAAGATACATAGCCAATATATATGTATCTTTGCATAAAACGCCACAAAATAAAATTTTTTTTTGACAATAGCATAAATAATACTAGACTCAATAATACTAAAAATTAAACAAATTTCTGAATTTAAATATAAAATCAAAATTACCCCAAATTTCGAGGTTGATTTCCCAATCTTCGTGGTGCTCAGTATGATTGATGCTTCATGTCTTTGCTAAAGCTTCTTTATGAAGCCCCAATTAGAATCCCCAAAGCAATTTAAGGTTTCGACTTGGGAGTTGGGACCTAGGAAACCCACATCCTTGAAAATTTTGGATATAAATTTAAAATTAAAACTGCAAAATCCCGAGTCTTCGTATTTTTTTTTGTGGAAAATATAGCCTTCGCTGGTAAAAGATCGTAAAGGTAAGTGGGCGTAGGGTTTAATTTTTCATCGAAGACGAATGGTTGATTTTGAAGAATTGAAAAACTTTTAAAATCAGCCAAAACCTTACCCAATTTTTCTATCTACAGAATCTGTGAAATCCACAGATTTTTCTCGATTCTATGGTTTTTAATAAGTATATCAGAGAGAAATGGAAAAGGGTGGTAAATTTCTGGTTCCCTTTAATTGTTGATTCAACGCTGAATACTCGGGCGATAATATAGCAGCTCGCCTGAGTATTGTACAGGTACCACATTCCCTAATTCTGTACATCAAACTCGTCGTCAGCAAGGTACCGAGAGTACCTCAATCGAGTCCAAGTTGACTCTGGAGGTCCCAACTCTATCGGAGACTCGTTTCAGACGAGCTCTCCTGAGAACAATATTTAAATTACAATTTGATAATCAAATTATCTAGAAAAGAACTCTTGTAAACATATCAGTTTTTAAACTCATCTTTTAGAAGAAAATTAATTAGAGAACTATTTAGAAGTATCATAAACTGAAGGCAGCAATAATCGAATTGAAGTAAAAAACAAAATGAAAATAACTGCTGCCTTCAGCTGGGTACCACAAGGCTAGGAATGATAAACTAGAAATTGTATTTTTTATTTGTTTTGAATTATATCATTTATATGAACTTTCAACAAAAAATATCATTTATATGAGCGTGTGTACTTCTACAGGAGTAAATTGTACAATTGGATCAGAGCCCTGACCACGCAGTAAGAGCTTCTTCTATATGAAACTTGCTGGTCATATTGGGTGAATATTTGTTTCACCCATTGTTTTCAAAATCGCACGATCGCTAACTGTTAATTGCTCAGTTAGATCGGAATGGCCGGTTCCAGTTTTGGACGGTTAGGGTGATCAACCGGTATTTAAAAAAAAGAAAAATTATCGCTAATATACCTTAATTTTAACAAAATTGAAAAAAAAACCCCAAACTTCTCAAAACCTTATCTACATCCCTTTCACAATTTTCGCAACTTTTTGGATGAAAATACCATTTAAGATAGTCTTTTTACCATAAAGGCATTAATAAAATTACAGGACTTCGAGTCCCGTAATACCTTGAAAATATATTATGGTTCTTAATGTATCGTAATACTGTAATACTTTAATAGGTATCATTTTATACCGTATTTAAAATACGGCAATAACTTCCATTAGCATTACGGTACTTTAAGTACCGTAAAAACTAAAACCCATTTTACTACCGTAAAAACTAACCCATGTTATACGGCACTTCAAATGGCGTAAAACATTTTCTCTTTATTATATTTATCTCTTTCATCTCTATTTTTTTTTATGTTTATTTCTTATTTCTCTCTCTCATTATATTTAATATTTATCTCTTATTTCTCTCTAATTTTTTTTTTATCTCTTCTTTCTCTCTCTAATCTTTTCTCTCCCAAGGATATTTGGCCGTGTCCAAATTGGCTCGTAGAGTAAGATTGTAGAGAGAGAAAGAAGATATAAAAAAAAATGAGAGAAGAAAGAGATAATATGAAAGAGAATTAGAGAGAGAAAAAATTGATAAGAATTAGTGATAAAATAGATAAGTATAAAGATAATAAATGGCGTAAACCTTTTTTATGTTTATCTTTGTCATCTCTAATTTCTTTTATGTTGATCTTTTCTTTTTATCTCTATGTTATAGAGACATTTAAAAGGTCGTAAACCTTTTTTTCATAGAGATAGAAAGTATAGATCAACATAAAATAAATTAGAGATGAAATAGATAAATAAAAAAAGTGTTTACACCCTTTTCTCATTTTGTTTATATTTATTTATTTCATCTCTAATTACTTTTATGTTTATTAATTCTTTCTCTCTAATTCTTTTTCATATTTATCTCTTATTTCTCTTTCTACAATCTTACTCTGCGAGCCAATTTGGACACGGTTAAATACCGCAGTTTGGGAGAGAAAAGATTTAGAGAGAGAAAGAAGAGATAAAAAAAATTAGAGAGAAAGAAAAGATAAATATTAAAAAGATGAGAGAGAAATAAAAGATAAATATAAAAAAAATAAAGATGAAAGAGATAAATATAATGAAAAAAGATTTAGAGAGAGAAATAAGAGATAAAAAAAAATAGAGAGAAAGAAGAGATAAATATTAAAAAAACAAGAGAGAAATAAGAAATAAACATAAAAAAAAAATAGAGACGAAATAAATAACTATAATAAGGAGAAAAGGTTGCCGTATAACATGGGTTAATTTTTACGGTGGTAAAATGAGTTTTAGTTTTTACGGTACATAAAGTACCGTAATTGGCTTCCATAGACTTTAATTAAAATACCCTAATGCTAATTGAAGTTATTGGTATTGGGGTACTATAAGTACCATAATATATTTTCAAGGTATTACGGTACTCGAAGTACCGTAATTCTATCAATACCTTTACTGTAGAACAACTAAGGTAAAGGGTATTTTCGTCCAAAAATCACAAAATTGAAAAAAGGGTGTGGAGGAGGTTTTGAAAATTTTGGGTTTTTTTTTCCCATTTTATTAAAATTAAGATATATTAGCGATAATTTCCCCAAAAAAAAATTTCAAAAAAAAGATATAAATTCTATAAAATAAGGAATTTGATTTATAACACATTTTTAAATATTTTTTACATTATGGTAAAGATTAAAAAAAAATTTGGTCGTTAATACTCACTTTTATATTTTTCCATCTTTTTTAAAAAAATTTAAAAATAGCCATTGGAAAATATAAAATGGTTTAAAATTCATTTTTTTTATTAATTTTCAACTTCATTTGAATATTTTTTATTTTATTCATTCTTTATATGCTTTTCATATTTTAGTAGACTTTTTTTTATATTTTTTTTCTACATTTTTTTTACCGCCTAGAACTTGCCTAATTAGAGCGGTTGAATCGGCTGGTTTACCCACCCATGTCCGATTAACCGTTCCTATTCAATTTTGCCAATACCGGTTTCACCTCATGAACAATTTTCAAAGAGGAGAAAAAGTGAAAGTGGATTTTGTGATATTTTAAAGGGAAAAGTTTATATAAGGTTGCAACCTTAAAATGTAGAACTACGGATGCACCTAAAATATCCATCAATAAAGGTTGTTTTAATGTTGAAAAACCCTCTAATTGATCATCTCGACATCGAGATGTGTGATCATGAAAAAAACAGATTTTGACTTCTAGAAATGGTGCATCTTAGAACACATTATCTAGACCGTCCATTTTCAAGAGCTTCATATGCTTACCGATCTACCTGATTTTAATCATTTATGGAGTTTAAAATGTTATAATTAGATTTGAAAATAGATTATGAGATATTCTTAAAAATATTTTACATCAAAATTATATGTTATGATAAAATTTGAAGGTGTGCCTTAAATGGATTGTTTAAAGTTGCAACCTTACGGAAACCGCACCCTATTTTAAAAGGGTTGATCAGGTTGTCCATCAAGAGGTTCTGGCAAGTTGGTCAAGGACCTTAATCTTGGGCCCATAAGTGCTTGGCCCCTGTGTGGAGGGCACCGAGACCCGTCTTGCCCACTCGGATTCTCTCCTACCCTCCCTGTCCGTAACATCCCTTTCTTTAGCATTATGCTTGCAGGCTAAGTGGTACGTGCGCCGGCATGTGCGACTTTGGTGGAGTTTACTAGATAAAGCCCACATCAGGCTTGACCGGGGCAGATATCAAGATGGTGTGGCAGTGGTGCATGGTGTGCGAGAGTATGGGCTAGTGGCTAAGGATCCTTGGTACGAGACCTTGGGCAAGATGGTGTGAAAAAATGGCTTAAGACTAATCCAAATAATGGCTTGGTTGGCTTAACCTTAGATCGCTTGACCCAATGGGACATTGGTGTGGACCAAGTGAAAGAGGTGAGCTATCGCATACGCCTAGCTGGCAGGTATGTAGACCGTGATGGTCATGATTGGGTATTTGAATTTATGTAACTATCCTAGACATAGGTGTATGTAATAGTCATTAGCCTTGTAAATCTAGGTCTAGAAATTAAAACAATTATTTCATAATATATAGTTTGTATCATTTAACTTATAGAGTTACGGGTTGGGTTCGAACCCTAATCTAGATCCGAACCCAACCCAATAGGATCGATGCTGGACCCGGACCTAGTCTCGACCTGACCCAATTGCCACCCCTAGAGCTTTGTGAGAGAGGGAGTGAATGTGTAGTGAGTGAGTGGGCTCAATAGCTACTGTAATTGACCATGCATGGTTTGATTTCCCCCCGCCCTACAAAGAAAACACCCACCTCCTTGAATTGGGCCATTTGGGTATGCATGAAGGCTTGGGAGTGGACAATGTAATTGCAAACCAGGAAGGTTGGTAGCGAATGTTGTGCTGCCCTTAATTGAAAGAAAGACCTATGTAATCTTATGTCGGAAAAATACAATTTTTTTTTAATAATAATCACCCCTTATAATTTTGGCAACGAGATCACTCACAGGTGGTCTTATTACAAATAATAGAAATTTCAAAAATAAATAACACATCAATAAAATAAATCTCAACTACTTAATACCATTCATACAACTTAATACTATACTTGAGAATATAAAATAAAATAATAAACAATTAAAAGAAAAGATGTTAGAGATTACCTCAATCGGGCTTTTTACACCCCACACCGGCTTTTTATACCCCACACCAAGTCACCACATCCAATGGTGTGGGATCAGCGATCTAGCGTCCATCTCAAACCGAAAAAACTAATTTCGGCTAAACTAGGTAACCGTCACTAAATCTCTACAAAACCCTAACTCCAAAATAATTAGGCTCAGACTCTTATTTTTCCAACCCTTATATTAGATCATGAGAGAGAAAGAGTCTCTATATTGGGCATGCCCCCTAGGGTCCTTTTTAGAAGAGAGAGAGATTTAGGAGAGAGAGAAAGAGTAGAGAGAGAAAATAAGAAAGATCCTTTTTAGGGGAAAGAGAATAGAGAGAGAAAATAAGAGAGACCTTTTTAGGGGAGAGAGAGAGTAGAGAGAGAAAAGAAGAGGGACCTTTTTAGGGGAGAGAGAATAGAGGGAGAAAATAATAGAGTAGGGAGAGAGGGGCGTGGCCCCTAGGGAACAAAGAGAGAGAGTTTGTGGGAGAGAGAGGTGTGTTGAAATGGGGGAGAATACTTTTATTTATAGTGAAATTTAAGTCTAGGGTTTCTTTAGGGTTGCCTATAGTTTGCATCTTTTTTGATATTGAATATGGACAATTGATCAAGGTGACTTGTGTGATGAGAGATCTGAGCCGTCCATTCTATAGATAGGTCATCAACATTATGTAAGGTGTATGAACCATTATCTCCCTTTCTTTAAACCATTTTTCTATCAATATATTTAAATAAATTAAATCCATTAAAAATATAGTGCATACCATAAATTGCATGTTTCATCTCATATTTTCCATAAGAATATTTCAAAAATATCAAGTCAGGATATTCCTTCAATAATCAAGATAAGATATGGTCAATATTTCCTAATCAATATTTGACCACATGCTGCAAGATGTAGTTACCATATTTAACAAACTTGAAGACAAAGCGATAAGATAAGGTATCCAAGGGTGGGGCGTGCCACCCATGTATGGCATGTGGGGCCCTACCTAATACCCACATGGTGGGCCCATATACACTATGGGCCTCATGTATTTTTTTAAAAAAATAAATATTTTAAAATTTAAACAAAATGAATTTTAAAACATTATAACTTTGTAAATTAATAACTTCATTTTTCGAAGTCCAAAAATAAGAAATAAAATATCAAATGACTTACAAAAATTCAAATAATAAATCTAAAATAATTTAATAATAAAATCAACACAATTTAATTAATATGATGGGAAGTGGATCCATATGGTTCAGGAATTCAATCAACGATCACGGGGTACTCCACCTTCAACTATGGACTATAGACCACACTTGCTTTATCGAACCGACCTAGTGTTTCCCATGACCCACAGTCCAAGCAGGGGCTCATTAGCGGATCGCCAAAATCTGGTCGATGAGCCAAGGAGTCGCAATCTCAGTCTGTGGATTACAGGTCCTCCCCCAGAGACAAGTCAGGGTCACCATGACCTGATGTGACCACAGCTCTATGGTGCATAGGGGTATCTCTCGTACATTCATATGCTTCACCCAAAGGTGGATATGTAACTTTTCCGAACGATTTATCTATATGCATGTCGTGTGATGGAACAAGGATGAGGTTTTGGCCCTCGCCTCTATAGGCCTACCATCACACACAAGGGTCACACGGTCCCTCGGCTCACTCATCTAGGTATAAGTTTCGACCTCATCAAGGGCTAACCCAAAAAATCTTTTCGGTTTATTTTTTCTGCCCAGGTGCCTTTGGTTTTTCAATCGACTGGCCTTGATCGTCAAGCACAGTCCGTTATCCGTAAATATCATTTGCTTAGTATGGTCTTCGAGGGACTACACTCCTACTGAGTTTATGTTCCACTATAATAAATATTTTTCATTACCGCCTTTAAAGGCCACATAAACCCAACATTAATGACTTATCACAATAGTGAGTAAAAAGGACTATATAAACCCCTTGTTTGGACCTATGGAGGGCGGTCGTGGTTATACGCCAAGTGTATAGTGAAGTAAGAGGAGGCGCTCTTGTCTATTATTAGGGGTGGCAGTGGGTTAGGTTTGACTGGACCTGGACTCAAATCTGAATATTATTCGTGTTCAGGTTTTGGACCTCGACTCGACCTTTCTCCAAAATTTGAACACATACCCTGATCCAAGGTCGAGTCTACTCGATAGGTTTCAAGTTTGATTGGGTCCATTGCCATCCTATGACTATGAGCTTCATTTTTTTTTTTTTCCCCATTTTTCACCATCATATACCTATATTATTTGTTACATTTATAGTATTACACAACATTTATGAATACCCACATTCCTTATTGTTTTATGTAATAATTGGAAATTCTTAAAAAACAAACATATTGGCAACATTTATGAATACCCACACATACCCATTTATTCAGGTCAGACCCATACCAGAATAGTATTCAAGTCTAGATTTTGGACCTAGACTTGACCTTTCGGATCCAAAATTTGTACTCATACCCGGAACCGAGGTCGGGTCCATTGGCACCCCTATTGACTATTGCTTGTGTTGTGACCTCTTGTTTTATTTGTTATTTCCTCGAATTTGACATGCGGAAGGTTGGCCAACCCTTAGTATGGGTAGTAGACAGGCAGGCACTTAGAAATTTAGATCCATGAAACACACAATTTCAGGTCTCAAGGCGGCTCCTGCCATGTACAAAACGAGGGATTTGGGGAGTAGAGGGCCAGGCCAATACGCCACTTTTTCCATTGGTTCCCATGGTTTGGTATCGGGAAATTTGATTGGATCACAATATATTTTTGCAGGGTGAAGAACAAAACAAAGCAATCCAGATTCCAAACGCAAAGCGCTCTACTTAAAAACCTCATCCTCATCCTCATCCTCTGTGCCTAAACCCACTGACACCTCACTAACCAACTACTTAACAAGCAATTAATCAACCACTAATCACTATCTCCATTTAGACCAATCGTTACTTAACTCCTGTCCTGTAACAAATCAACCCCCTTGTTATAATCTAATTGCGACCGGACACCTGTTCATAAAAAATCCCAGAAATTCCAACCCCATTCCCACGGAGCCCGGCCGCATAAGAATCAGGCCTAGCGAGACCCGCCCCTCCACGTGGCTCGCGCCCTAACCGCAGGTAGACGCGCCTTTGGTCTCTAACTTTTGTGCACTGCGCTGCTCCCTCTCGAGTAACAACGTCCTACCTGTACTCTTTCTCTCTCTAGACTTTCAATTCTCTCTCTAATTTTTTCTTTTTTTTTTTATAGGATAGCTTTTTATGTTCCCTTAAAATTTCAACCGTCTATGTTTTAATAAGGGGTTCGGATCGTCTCAATCGTAATGTCAAGTCTTTATACTGTGGTTTTTTTCTTTTTTTTTCTATAAATTGTTTTAACACCAAATTTTAAACGTTCATTCCTATATTAAACTCGCACTAACAAAAAATTAAAAAATATATATTTTTAATAAAATAAAATAACTAAAATACCACTAAAAATTTTAAAAGGTATGTTGGTCATTATTTTTTATCGAAAAATTATTATTAATATTTTTTATAGGTGCTCCCAATGAAAAGATTGTATTTACCAAATTTCATATTGAAAAAAATTGTATTAAAAAAACTAATATTTTGAGACGTCGGATCTAAAATCAAACGGTGAAAGGCTCCATTGATAAAAAAAAATAGAATAGATTGCTGTTTGGTTGGGGCAACACCCTTTTTTTATCTTTAGAGTAACTTTCGATGACCGAGACAGAAGATAGAAGTAGAAGCCGGTCCGATAACCGAATCGCAACGGCCACTTACCCCAGTTCAAAGTTAAAGACAGAGTGGAGAGAGAGAGGGGGCAGAGCTTTCGGGTTGATAATTCCTAAGCCATGGTCCCTTTCGGGTTCTATAATGGCGGATTAAAGAAAGATTAAGCCCCTTTGGAAGTAGCCGGCGCGGCCCAATTAATGTAAGCATTATTTTAATTAATCTCTCTCCCTTTCCCTATTAGACCTGTCCCTTGCTCCGGACCCGTTCCCCTTTCTCCACACTTATAATTGGAGGGTCACTGCCCTCTCAACCCACCCACCCCTCTGAGGCTCGGAGAGATGGAAGCTGTGTTCGATTTCGAAAATGAGCATCAATGGTTTGATTTCAGACCTGAGAAGCTCCTTGTGAAGTGTAACAGCACTGCGAGCTCGGGGTGTAGTACTGCGACTTTGGAGGAGGAGATGTGTGAGTGGCAGCATGAGCTGAGCGGGCTCGATGGCCGGAGTGTTTACCAAGATGGAGCCCCGCTCATTGCTGACGAAGATGAGTGGATGGTTGGGGGCGAGGAGGAATGGGAGATGAATGGTCTGCTGGAGTCGATGATGGATGAGCCGAGCTGGAGTGATGGCGGGAGTCAATTTGGCGTGGTGTCAGATGATGAGTGGGGGGCGCGGCCGGTGGATGAGGGGGATGACAGTAAAGGGCTGAGGCTGGTGCACCTTCTGGTGGCAGCCGCCGAGGCTGTGACAGGGGCCGCCAAGAGCAGGGACTTGGCGTGGGTGATATTGGTTCGGCTCAAGGAATTGGTCTCGCCCACCCAAGGCTGCAACATTGAGCGGCTCGCGGCCTACTTCACCGAGGGCCTCCAGTGCCTCCTCGAGGGCCACGGTCCGAAGCCCGGTTCGTGGCCCGACCCCCAAGCTGACCTCATGGGAGCATTCCAGTTGCTGCAGGATATGTCGCCATGCATAAAGTTTGCTCATTTCACTGCCAATCAAGCTATTCTTGAGGCAGTGACCTCAGAGAGAAGAGTCCATGTGTTGGATTTTGACATCATTGAAGGGGCCCAATGGGCTTCCCTTATGCAGGCACTGTCATCACGCACGCAGGGGCAGGCCCCTGTGCCGCACTTGAGGATCACTGCAGTGACGCGTGGAGGGCAGTCAGGGCGCCGGGCACTGGCAACCGTTCAGGAGACTGGACGTCGGCTTGTGGCTTTTGCTGCCTCGATTGGGCAACCTTTCTCGTTCCACCAGTGCAGGCTCGACCCGGACGAGAAATTCAGGCCTGATGCAGTGAAGCTGGTAAAAGGCGAGGCTTTAGTGGCCAATTGTGTACTTCACCTACCACACTCGACATACAGGACCCCTGGTTCCGTGGCCTCATTCTTGAACGGGGCCAAGGAGCTCGGGCCTAAGGTCGTGACCTTGGTGGAGGAGGAGATGATGTCGAGCACCGAAGGGTTCGAGGCGAGGTTTATGGAGCTCCTGCACCACTACTCTGCAGTCTACGACTCTTTGGAGGCGAGCTTTCCGCAGCAAGGGAGGGCAAGGGCGATGGTCGAGAGGGTGTTCTTGGGGCCGAGAATCGCGGCCTCTCTGGCCTACCATCATCAACAGCATGGCCGCGGTGGAAGCTGGGCTGAGTGGATGGGGAGTGTGGGGTTCAAGCCACTGCCAGTGACCTTCTTCAATCACTGTCAGGCCAAGCTCTTGGTTGGCCTGTTCAGTGATGGATTTCGAGTCGAAGAGGCTCGGAGCAGGCTTGTGCTTGGCTGGGGATCTCGACAGTTGGTGTCCGCATCGGTGTGGGGACATAATTGTCATTCTTGCAAAAAAAAGGGGTTATAATTCTCCCTTTTGAGGAAATAAATAGGATGAGATATTTATTTTATTAAGTTGGTGTGCCAAGTCCTCTTTCTCTTTTTCAAATCTTCATGGATTTTTTACTTTCATTGAGTGGGATTTACTGTTGAGGTTTGACAGTATCATTGTTCCAACTCTTTTTTTGTTTGTTCTTTTGTTTTAGGAGGGAGATAAAACGGAGAATTGATGTATGAATAATTGGTTCATTTGAATATGATCTCCTGCTGCTTTCCCAATCTTATAAAAGGAAACGATACCCTTTTTTTAAATCAAGAGAAAAACAAGTCATGTGTTATTTGTGTCAAAAGCTAGGAAGCACTATCATGAAGATGATGCTGAAGAATTTTGAAAAAGATTCCAAGTGGTAAACTAGTTTAATTGTTTAATAAATGTTCTAATGGTGGGTTAAACCATACATAGCATGATGACTGTAGTGTTTTAAAACCCGGATTCATGGGGTGGATTGTTCACCTACAAAGCTACGTCGGAATGCTAGATTAACAGTTCAGAATTTAAGAATAAAATGTTATAAATAAATAAAATAAAATCAGGGTTTATGGGGTAGGGATTTAACAAAACATTAAACTAGTGTTCGCAATATCGGAACCAGCCAGTTAGATCGGAACCAAGCACTACATTAAACCAATGTTAGCAATATCAGCCGGTTCAACTCGGAACCGACCAGTTAGATCAAAACCAGGCACTACATTAAACTAATGTTCACAATATCGGCTAGTTCACCTCGGAACCGGCCGGTTAGATCGGAATTGGACATTGGCCAGTTTCGGTTTTGGTCAGTTTTGGTGATAGGGCCCGGTATTTTAAAAAACTTAAAAAAAAATTATATAAAATCTCAAAAAATAAGAGATTTGTTTGTAATGTATTTTTTATTTTTTATTTTATCATTTTGTCAAAGATTGGAAAGTGTCTTAGTGGTGAATACTTACTTTTACATTTTTCCCATATTTTTAAAAATTTCAAAAAAACCCTTGGGCACAAATCGATTTTTTTAAATCTATTTTTTAAACTTATTTTCAACTTCAGTTGGAGGTGTTTTATTTAATCATGCCTTAAATATACGTTTCATTTTATTTTATTTTAGATTTTTTTTACCCATTACTCGGAACCAGACCCTAGCTGGTTTCCGATGCTGGTTCAATTTTTCAAAGACTGCATTAAACAAGCTTAAAGGTTCGATTTTTCAAATACTTCATTAAACAAGCTTAAAAAAGAAAAAAAAATATGAGGGGGTTTTAGAGTCATCAGCTCATCGTTAAGCAAGTGCAGATCACGGCCCAAAACCATGGCTCAATCATCATGAGAAATGCCTTTTTACCCGTCTTTTCTCTAAGTAAATTCCTTCAAAACTTTCAAAATAGATCCCAAATAATTTAATAAGATTAATATACTAAAATATCACTGCCCAAAACCATGCCTCAATCATCATGAGAAATGCCTTTTTACCCGTCTTTTCTCTAAGTAAATTCTTTCAAAACTTTCAAAATAGATCCCAAATAATTTAATAAGATTAATGTACTAAAATATCGGAAGAAACCTTATTACTATAATAACATGGGTGTACCTAACTCTAATCAGCTCCAATACCCAACGAGTCTTATGCAATATATCCTGCTGCCTAATAAATTCCTTATTTTATTTTATTTTATTTTTCTTTAAATGAGGTTCCCAATATTATGGGATTTCGATGTCCTTTATTTATTTGGCCAAGTCTTGTGACTCTGATCTCAAGCCTGCTAACTGTAAAGTGTAAACTGAAGGAAATGTCAAATAAGAAAAGGACCCAAATTCTCTTATTTTGAAAATGGGAACAAGTCAACTTTTTTAAGGAAGAAAATGAAAAAGATTAAAGCATAGAGGTGCCACATAATTTTGAGTTAGAACATCCTAATGAATCATGAACATTTATGTTTTTAAAGGGACATGTTCTTGTTACGTATCAAATATTCTAATATTCTAATAACAAGTGGTATCAGAGCCTCAATTTAAGCCTCAACTGTATCTCTGATTAAGTTCCTGGATAACAAACCTAAAACTCGAAAGCCGGGGCTAGAAACAAGAAAGCCTAGAGACATGTTAGAGCTGGAGGCATCTCAATTGGATGCAGCAAATTAGACCTAGAGTTGAGCAATTTAAAATCTCATTTGTTTTTTTGATCTAATTATTAAAACCCATCATTATTTTGATCAAATTTCAAATAGTCCATTATTGGAGATTATTGGATGAGGAAATGTTATATAGTTGATAACTCATGTGCAATTTGATTAATTTCCCCTGTTTAAATGAGCTACACTCCCAAGAACGCTTGGCCAATCATCATTGTGCTGGAGCATATGCATTCTTCCCCATGTTCACTGATCTAAACACCAATAAATCTCGCTAATTCCTCAACTTTTAAATCCATTTTAAAACAGGAATCGTCGATCCAAATCAGAACTTATGCAAGCCTGAACCTCTTCCTAGAAGGTAGTTTCTATAATGCTTTCTTAGCGAGCCAAACCACATACCCCCCCACCCCACTCCCCCCTCCCCCCACCCCCTAATTCGGATTCGGACCAACTCAGACTTATGTAAATTGCTGACCCAATGATCTGACATGGAAGTGACTAATGTAAATTGCCAACCCAATTGTCTGACATGGAGTTGATTGATGTAAATTGCCGACCCAATGATCTGATATGGAACTATGGAGCGAACAATCGACCATACCGATCCAAGATTTAAAACACTAAAAAGGACTATGGTGCTCCTTCGCCTTTGATTGTTTAGAACCTAGGCTCTATACAAACCGCACTCTTGTTTATTTTGTATTTGGCTAAGCTACTTAAGGCCTTTGTTGTCATTGTCGGGCTTGCGTGGAACAGGGACATTAGCAAGAATGCCAAGGTATGGCCCCACCCCACTTCCAAGGTAAGCTGCTTATAGGTGGGGCAGGGGCCCACTCCAATGTTTTTTTATCATTTGAGGGGTGGCACGTCCCATGGTCCACTACCACTTGGATGGTGGTCCCTCTCCATGATTTGGGGGATCTTTTTAGCACAATGGGAATGTCCATTTCAAGCAACTAATTTTGGGTCCCACACAACAAAACCTAAGCCATAGATGCTCCAATCATAGTGCTCTCTCTCTTTCTTTGTCGTTCCATCATAGAAAGAGAGCTACTTTGAAAAAATCCTTCCACTACTAAGGGGTCCTTTTCATTTACTTGTTATTTATGAATAGGGTATGACTTGAATTTACGTGAGATTGAAGTTGACGAGTAACAATTCTAGTGCATTGCATGTGTCCCCTATGCTCCTTTGGTGAAAGATGTACTTGTGAGGATTTATTTTCATATGAAATTTTGGCATCCAGAATCATCATATGATTATTTTCAAAACTGAAAAGTCGGATTTTGAATTTTTCAACACATTGATCTCATCCTTTGAAAATTTAGAGTGTTTGATTAATCTTAGGATGTTTCATTAGACGGCCAGATTTCATTTATTTGTCTTTAACTTGTGATGTGGCTCATTTGCCTTATAATAGGGATTTGTATCTTCTCTACTTTTAGTTAATGAAAAACGTGTAGAGGGCCTTCTCCCCCGCTGACTTGCCCAAAAAAAAAAAGACAAAATTCATATTAGGATGAGAGGTTAGAGATAGGCATTAGGATGAGAGGTTACATCCCCTGAGGTCCTAAAATTAGCCTTCTAGATTGCGTTTTGCATGAAGGAAAAAATAGACAATATGCCGTTGTAGGAGCACTAAATCTATTGGCTCGACCTAATCATCATCATAGCCTTTTTTCAATTTAATTGAGATTGGCTACACAAATCCTGGTTTGTCATTCTGCTCTATTTACAACCGTATCCTCAGTGAGGCCATAAATTCCCGTATCTTTTAATGGTCCTTAATTCCGCTGCAAGAGCACGAAATCTTTTGGCTCGACCTAATATGGTCCTTAATTAATGTAAAGTGAAGCCAAGGCTCAAAAAAGCCTTTACATAGTGGTTATATCAGCAATTATTACGGGCATAGGCCCAGCCTTGGACCATGAACTAGCTATATGTGACGGTCTACATTATGAGTCAAAATTACCCAATATGATCAAAATATTGACAAATTTGAGCTTTATGGCCTTCTCCTTGTTTGAAACCAGTGGGTGACATAAATCCTATAAAATGCATTATACAAGCCCCATCCATCTGTTTTTTCTTGAAAAAAACCTATCCTAGAAAAATATACAATCCTCTGTAGTCCTAAGCTTTGGTGGTATTATCATCATAGTTTCATAAAATCTTCACCGGCCAGTACGAAATTTGAGCTTACCCATATCAAAAGGAGCTTCCGTTATGTCCGCAGCGAACTGCGTTATAATATCTGGTATTTTCAAATATACTCTGTTTTATATCAGAAAAATTTAATGATTTTGTTTTCCCATTAGCAGATACAGTTATATGTAAGTTCGAAACAATGCAAATCTTAATAGTTCATGTTTCTTGAACATTAAAACATTCGTCATTATCGTTACTAACACCGTTACTGCAAAAGCTACGTCCATTTGGATAGAAGGTTAACAAAGTTTACTACAAGGAACATTTAAAAAACAAAATTTGGCAAAAGTAACTTTTTAACAACTGAATAGTTAACCTTTTTTCAAGTATTGGACATGAATAGTTTGATGGGAATTTTGATGTTAAATCAAAATATATAGGTACAGTTTTAAATACGTAATCTCTTGAATTATTTTGATACAATTTCTGATAAATTTTACTACAGGAGACTGTTTACACTCACAGGCACAAATACATTTGTGTGTGTGTGAGAGAGTCCTGTTAGAAATTAGTAGGTAAAAGGGGCCAAAGACGAGGAGCAAAAAAACAAGGAGCCGAGACCCCATCTACAGCTTCCTCAATCTCTCATTTTATATATATATATATATGTCTTCTGTGTTTCTTTTTTTTAAAAAAAGAGGTTTCTGGTTTTGTATGTTTCTATACAAAGAAAAGAAGGGTCCTTTCACAATCTTTCTTTACTATGAAGTGGTGCAGAACAAGGAAGATACCATAGAATCTCTCACTTGAACAACCATTAGGGACCCTACAAAAAGAAGTAAAGAAAGGGAAGAACCTCCCTTCCCTTAGGACAGAGCCAAGAGGGAAGCCCTGTTGCTTT